TCGCACAGGTGTGTGTGTGTGTGTGTGTTCGCACAGGTGTGTGTGTGTGTGTGTGTGTTCGCACAGGTGTGTGTGTGTTCGCACAGGTGTGTGTGTGTGTGTGTGTGTGTTCGCACAGGTGTGTGTGTGTGTGTGTGTGTGTGTGTTCGCACAGGTGTGTGTGTGTGTGTGTGTTCGCACAGGTGTGTGTGTGTGTGTGTGTGTTCGCACAGGTGTGTGTGTGTGTGTGTTCGCACAGGTGTGTGTGTGTGTGTGTTCGCACAGGTGTGTGTGTGTGTGTGTGTGTGTTCGCACAGGTGTGTGTGTGTGTGTGTGTGTGTTCCTCGCACAGGTGTGTGTGTTCGGCGTTCGTAAGCACTGCGTGTCAGGCGGAAGAGAAGAAAGATGCAAACGGAGATCAGGGCGACGGGAAGCTTGTTCCGGGAAACTAGTGTGTGAAGCTGATCTGAGCGTGTAAAGCATCATTAGCTCTGCACTCTCGTGCTTTAGCAGTTTCTGAAGATTATTCTTACTTGTAGATGAAGAAACATCAGCACTCCTTTTCAGCGACCCTGTTGATAACCATTCATCCATGTGTAAATAACGGTTACAGTAGAAGTACGGCAGACACACTGCTGGGTTATTAACAGCCAGCTTAATAGGGAATGTTTATTTTTTGATATTATATATGGAATTATATTTCATTAGACATTTGCTCAAATATTAAGAAAGTGATGTTTTTAACAGTAACTGGCGGCGCACAGGGTGACACCCACTGGTCTAAACTCTCACTCGTCGACAGTGTGTGTGTGTGTGTGTGAGACTCTTCACCTTCTCCTTTAACGAAGAGGATGGTGGTGTCGGCGTTGGGTGAAGCCTTCATCTCTCCCACCAGAGCTTCATCTTCCTCTTCCTCCTTTTCTTCAGTCTGAGGGACGAGACCAACACATGAAGTCATGAACATGAGCCACTCAAACACCAGATGATGTTCGTTCTCTTACTAGTTCAGTGTTCATTCGCTCTCTTACTAGTTCAGTGTTTTCGTCGTCCTCCACCTCGGCTTCATCATCCTCATCCTCAGCCATCACATCATCAGCGGCGTCTTCATCCACAGCATCTTCTTCCTCAGTCGCATCCTGAGCCGAGACGACCGGTCCTGAACACACACACAGCTGGGGATCATTTTCAAGTCTTACACACTATCTCTCTTTCACACACACCTGGAGATCATTATGAAGTCAAACACACACACACATTCTCTCACACACACATAAACAATCATACACTCTCTAACACATACACACAATATCCCCCCTCTCGCTCACAAACAAACATAATCACACACACACAAAACAAACAAACATAATCACACACAAACAGGACTGAAATCAGTGTATTCTCTCAGTAAACACTTCTGAAGCTCCACTCATCTGATGAGGTGTTACACTATTGTACGGTTTCCTCGTTAGTCAAGTTCTGGGTAATATTAATTAACAGCATGTTCTCACTAAATGATTAGGTTAGTTGCTTGTAATTATGTATAATGTAATGTTGTTACTATAGTAAGTTAATGTAAACAGTGTTGATTCCAGTCCTGTGCTGATGTGTTTATAGCTGAAGGACACGTCACACACACTCACACACTCTCACACACACGCTTCTGTCTCCAGAAGAGCCCGAACGCCTCATAACGAGCCTCTATAGCCGGTTATCGATGGGTCACCGCGGACTGATCGAGTTATGGATTATCACTTCACATAAAGAGACTTTAAGGAAGCGCGGCCTGACCGAGCGCGTTAAACTCACCCTTCATGAGGAGCGTCGCGGGGAACGCCAGTAAGAGCAACAGCAGCATCTTCTGCAGGAGTTTCATGGCTTCGGACAGACGAGAGTGAGGAG